CTTATGACTATGGCCATGCACATGCACAGGTACATTCTAGAATGGCATCAGAATATTTGGGGGCCATCCTCTGGGTAAGGGAAGGGATTAGTCACATATCAGCTTGCTCTCTGGCCCCAGGGGAAGTTTATTTACTGTCGGCTGAACCATGTGCTCAGCTTTCTGTTCATGTTCCACATTGTAAGCACAGAAGTCTCTCTGGTGAGCATCCAATGGGTAGAAATGAGTCTTTAGGAAAATGGATTTCTCCCTGAATCTTGTGTATATCAGTCGCTTGCCAATGGCCCCACACTTGGATGGGCTGGTAGTTAAGGTCCATGAATCAGACACTTGACAGCTTTCAGGAAGTCTTGTTAAAATGGTACAAACTCCAGCAATGATCAGATACTGGAGCAAAGAAGTCTAGGTAGACAATACATTAATATAAATAATAAATTTCATGGTAAAAACTGTAATAACTGATGTTTATAGTGCTTAGCAGACCCATCTGTATTCAGACATTGGGAGGATGTGGATGGTAGTGACAAGGCAGAAAGCACTATCTGTTTTCATTTCATTTTATTGCCAGTGATTGTAAATTAATAATCACCAATGCATGAATAGATGGAAAGGTTAAGAAGTGCAATACTCTTATATTTTTATATTCAATTTTAACTTCAGCTTGTGAATATTAAATGCTTTTTGTAAGGGCTACTGGAGTCCTCTAACTTATCTTCAAACCCATGAGGATGGGTAGAGGAACCATAAGCCTTGTCTGTTATAGTGGCTGTAGGTCAGGATGTGGTCATAAGTTTTTTGTGGCAGAGTCAGGGAGTGGAGAACCAGGAGGGACAGAAGGCTTAAGTAGACTGTTGAAATTTTTTGGCTAAAAGTACTGGGGCATCTTGGCAGTAGAATTCAAAACAAATTTCCTTAGGATTTCCCCCACTCTTGTTTGGTACTCCATCTGACCCACTAAGTAAGCTCAGTGGAAGTCAGCGGTTAAAGAGAAAATCCAAAGATCTCCCTTGGAACACAATGTTTGGTAATAATTCTCCTGGAATATCCTCCCAATATGCACTGGAAATGTACCAGATCTATCTCCGTACTCCTACAAGCAATGCAATACCCTTCTACAACCCCCAGTAGTACCTCTCGTACTTATCCTAGATCTTCTTCTTTCTAGTTGATATTGTGCTTCATTTGTCATCTAAATTATTTCAAAATTTGGTCTTTTTCCATTTATTTATTTATTTAGCCACTTATGTATTTTTAGTAAGGGTCTACAGTATCTCACGACGTAGATTGAACTCATAGTGATCTGCCTGTGATCAGCCTTCCATGTGCTGGGATTACAGGCGTGAGCCACCATGACCAGCTAAATCTTCTTCTTCTTCTTTTTTTTTTTTTTTTTTTTTTTTTTTTTTTTCGTTTTTTTTTTTTTTTTTTTGCATGGAACAGGGGATCCAGGCCAGTCTTAATCACCTTCTCAGCACACAATGGAGATGGGGCTGGTGCGACATGCCAGGGATCAAACCCCAGCCACTGTATCTGCCTAAGCAGGTGTTTTAATCTGCTGAGCTATTTGGCCAGATCTTGTTTTATTTTTATTTTATTTTATGCTTTGATTTTCTGCTTCATGTCCAATCTCTTCCCTTTAGCTAGTACTTTTTGCAAAGAAAATTCTAAAGATATTTTCTTATCAGTAACATTTTACATCAATAGATTCCTGATCTTACTCTGAAAATGTCAATAAGCAGATTATTACTTTATGCCAAACCAGGTTGTAATGCAGGAAGAACATCTTTCTATTAGATCCTCAGATGGTATCTTTTTAAAATAATAATCATATTGGAGAAAGTAGACCTTGATAATGAATTTTGTGACATCCAGTTTCATTAACTGTTCCACTGATCAACTCTCTGTAAAGTTTCATTAGTAAAATGTTTTATGTTCTGTATAACATTACACAGCTAGGAAGCATGTATTTGTCAACAATCTGGTAATGAGGGGAAGAAAAACAAAGCCCATTCTGAAAAATTATTTATCAAAGAGAAACAGTTAAGAGAATGAGAAGGAGATGAATTCAATTCCACACCTGTGTGCATTCATATGTGTGTGCTCATATATCAAATAAATGAAAATTGGCATCTGTACAGCAATAACATTTGTTTGCAATAGTCTTGTTTTATGAAAATCTAAAGGGTTAGCATGTGTAGGAGCAGCATAAAATTGTCAGTATGCATATTTTGTGAATTATGAGATCCACCAAATTATCAAAATATCCTAAATAACTTTTAAAGAGCTCTATGTTTAAATCACTCATTTTAATCTGAATGTATAAATAAATCATTCTTGAGCAAAATTACATGAAATTTTAAATTATTGTCACAAGATAATTTCTTTTAGCTCTGGTTTTAGTGTATGTTCCCCACTTTGGAAACTCCAGACTGGGTGAGGGGGGCACCACAAGGGAACAGGACTGGAGGGAAGCGAGTGGCCAGAGAGGCTACCAAGTCTGAGCCAGTGCACTGTTCTCCTGGAATCGCGGCAATAGTATTAGTTCAGGAAAATATCTACCACCTATTTGGGGAACGTACTGGAACATAGTATAAGCAAGTGTTCTTATTTACTCATATAAATTCACTTTTAAATAGTTCTACATTTTTTCAAAAGAGATAGTGTCTTTTGAACTTCCTTTCTGTGTGAGGGCAGGTTTGTGAGTGGCCTACACAGTGATTTCTGAGTCAGCTGATGAGTTTTTTCCTCAGTAGTTTTAGAGATGTCAGCTGCAGGCCTTATGTCACCATTTGGGGACCTGGTAGTGAGATCCTCATGTTGTACTAGATGCTTTAGTTTGGCTTTTATCTTTTTGTTCCCTGATAGTCTTTGTCAGTATATTAACATTCTGAACAAAGAGCTTACATAGTTTTTAAGAACCGCTACTTATTTTTAATATCTCTCAAGAACTGAAACTTTAGGATCCAGATGGAAAAGATCCAAAATATTCTGCTAGTTTTTCCACTGGTCACTTCATTCTGTGCATATACCTTTCTGCTGGCCTGATTTTTTTTTTCTACTGGGACTACTTTCACACAGGCTTGAAATTTATGCCTGGGTACCTCAACCCTTCCCTCACCATATGAAAATCTATTGTATAGTTTGATAGAAAAGGAACAGTCTGAAAATTGAGATTATTCAAGAAAATGCAAAATTCAGTTTCATGTTTATTTTATTTATATTTTCATTCAAATAGTTTACTTTTACCTTTTACCATTAATGTTTACTAATTTTATAAAATCTTGGATTTTAATGCTTATATTTTAATCATACCCCCATCAACACACTAGGATTTTTCTACAGTTTTAAAATTCATATGCTTACTATAACTTCAAGTGAGAATTGCAAAGGGCAGAAAATTCTGCAAGGTTACCCAAAATCCTGGAGTTCCAGGTTTCATTATATAATTTTGATAGCAAAGGGCTAAATTAAAATCCAGTCAAATATGCACTAAATTTCCAACTTCTGGTCCTTATAACACACTGCTTATTCAAATGTAATCATATGGTTATAAGACCTGAAGGTGCTTTGTAAAAATTCATTTTCATAATTTCTACATAAGCTTTATTCACTATTTTTTAAATTCTGCTATTTTTATTTTCCTTTGCTTCATCTGTCTTATTTCCACAAATTTCTGAGGATAATTCCTAGGAAGAGGATTCTTCCTACTGTCCAATTGGAGCTGAATTTATCCTTATAATCAGCAGGGTGGTGGAGGTCCAGAGTGTGGATCTGGTGAGCTTAGTGAGCTCCAACAACAACAAGAACAGCATAGTCGGGTGGGGTCTGAACACAGCTCAGGCCATCCCAGGTCAGTCCCCTGAGCACGGCCAGGCAGAAGCCACTGGGCCACAGCTGGGTATTCTCTCTACATACTAGTGCCATGGACATGAAGCCAATCAGAGGATTTTCTCTTTTGCCCTGATAGGCATGGTTAGTAGCAGAAATCAGTGGCCACATAACTCCAGCAAACTAAGAGGCAGGCACACAGAGGGGTCACAGGTGGGTGCTCTTCATAGCCCACCAGCCAAGCAGCATGTCCCCTACTGAAGTCAGTCCCAAAGCTATCTGAGGCCAGTATGTGAGGCTCTTCATTGGTAGGTTGGTGGTGATGAGAATTAACACTGGTTCTCCCAATGCTATACAACAGTAATTCAGACATAGAAGAACACCCAATGTGAAAGGTCAGCTCTCTGCTGGGTAAAACAAATGACTGAAAGCAGATAGCTGCGGATATCAAGGTCATGGGCTTCTAGGAACCTTTTTAATTTAGTAGTCAAGGTCATCAATAGTAGAGCCTGCTCCAGGTATCAGAATAACTCAGACAGCCCAACTGCACAGTTGGGTGGCTCTCCAAGGGTGAGGGAACTCCCTTGCTACCTGTGTGCCCTGAGTCCTACTTGTGGATGTCCAGGATGTGGCCTGGAAGCCCCATAACCAGGCCTGAGCCAGCACTTCTAAGCCCTGCCCACATTGCTTTTATATTTTCATGTTTTACTTTTTTTTGTAATACTGGAGATTGAACTCAGGGCCTTGCGCTTGCCATGCAAGCACTTATTCTACTGAGCTATCTCCCTCGTCTCCACATTGCTTTTAGAAAGAGAAAAATAACTAGATTATTTTATCAAATCTACAGTCAAAGACCATTAGAGAATTTTATCTCTATAGAATTCTCCAAGAATAACTTGGAGAATTGTTATAAAAAGCAATTAACAATTTGCATACTTCATTATAATACAAGCTTCAAGAAAGCAGATTTCAATAAACCCACAGACATACGGGGTGCAGAATAGGTACTAAATGAAAACCTGTTCATTATTTCATGATAAAGAGAAATACATGATTCACCAAAAGCTTATTTTCACTGGACTCTTACATGAACCAATGCATGTGGCCTTTTACATTATATCTAGGAAGTGAGTTGCACGTTTCTACCCACAAGAGTTAAGATTGTTAAAACCATGATGAAGTATAATCTAACTACGGTGGTGACTGAGTTTCTATTCTCTGGATTTCCTCAGTTTGAAGATGGTGGCCTCCTCTTCTTCATTCTTTTGCTTGTCATCTATATGTTCATTGTTATTGGGAATCTGACTGTGGTCTTTGCAGTCAGGATGGATTCTCGTCTCCACAACCCCATGTATAATTTCATCAGCATTTTCTCATTCCTGGAGATCTGGTACACCACCGCAACGATTCCAAACATGCTCTCCAACCTCATCAGTAAGCACAGGACCATCTCAATGACTGGCTGCCTCTTGCAGATGTATTTCTTCCATTCACTGGGAAATTCAGAGGGAATTTTGCTGACTGCTATGGCTATCGACAGGTACATTGCCATCTGTAATCCTCTCCACTACTCCACCATCATGACTCCCCAGCTGTGTGCTCAGCTCTCTGCAGGATCCTGCATCTTCGGCTTCCTTGTGTTGCTCCCAGAGACTGCTTGGATTTCCACACTGCCCTTCTGTGGTCCCAACCAAATCCACCAGATCTTCTGTGACTTTGAACCTGTGCTGCGCTTGGCCTGCACTGACACATCCATGATTGTGATTGAAGATGTGATCCATGCTGTGGCCATCATTTTCTCTGCCTTGATTATTATCATTTCCTATGTCAGGATCATCACTGTGATCATGAGGATTCCCTCTGTAGAAGGTCGTCGGAAGGCTTTCTCTACCTGTGCAGCCCATGTTGGTGTCTTTCTCATGTTCTATGGTAGTGTCTCCCTCATATACCTGCGTTTTTCGGCTACATTCCCACCAATTTTGGACAAAGCTTTTGCCCTAATATTTGTAGTTCTTTCACCATTTTTCAACCCTATCATCTACAGTTTGAGAAATAAGGACATGAAAATAGCAATTAAGAAACTTCTCTGCTTTAAAATGTTTACTGCATCTGCAGGTTAATGCTAGCTTGTGGGGACTTCTTATTGCAGATTACTCTTACATATCAACCTAAAAATTAGCATTTAATTCATTCACTTTCTTTCTGTTTTTTTTTTTTTTTTGTTTTGTTTTTTTTTTTTGGTGGAACCAGGGATTGAACTCAGGCCCTTGTGCTTGCCAGGCAAGCGCTTATTCTACTGAGCCATCTCCCCAGCCCCTCATTCACTTTCATAATGAATGTTTTGATTTTTGATTTTAGTACTTATCATATATATATAATTATGTTGTTGATGCATCTTTCACTAAAATAGCATGCACTAATTATGTATGTTTCCATAAATGGATAAAATATAAAAAAAATTTTTGGTTAAGCTATTAAAATGTGTTTTTATTAACATCAACTTTATTACTTTTATATAAATACTGTTATCATTTTATATCATTATTTTATAGAAAGCTAGTAATATGTCAAGTTTATGAAATATGATGGAATAAGATCTGTGGAAAAGACTACAGCTGCAGCAGTACCACTACTAATTTTGTGACCTTGAATAAGTCATTAATTAGATTCACAGCATCCTAGTTTTATTATCTATAGATATGAAAGTAATATGTTTTACAATTAAGCTTCAAATGTTATTATGAATATTAAATGAGGTACTCTGTAATAAGCTTACATATTTCATAAGAAGAGTTGCAAAATGAATGTAAACATGTTGTCATTAATTGATACCTTTGTTGTTGATACCTTAAAAAATAATACAATAAAAGAAGACAATATGCACTGTATTAATTATTGTAACTGTTGTACTAACCTGTTTTGAAACTGTCTCAATGTTATTTCTTTCTCAATGAAATTAATGTAAATGAATACTATAATGAAACATGATATATTACAAAACAAATAGCATACTCAGGAAGACTTGTCTATGCTTAAATTTCTGCTAACAAATTTTAAAATCTAAAAGAAAAGCATATGTCTGGAAACATATGACTTACCAACATCAAATCAATAGAAGATAAAAATCCTGAGTAGTCAAATAACAAGGAATGAAATTGAACCAATAGTGAAATGTTTCCTAACAAAGAAAATCACAGAACTAGAGAGCCTCAGAGCTTAATTTCACCAAAACTGAAAAAAAAAAAGAAAAATCTGTTTCTTCTCAAATCATTCTAAAGGCCTGAAATGCACAGAATATTTTCCAATTCATTCTACAAAGCTAGTGTCATACTATTACCATACCAAATGAGGACACAATAGAAGGAGGAAACCACAGACCAATTTCGCTGGTAAATAGAGATGCAAATTTATCAACTGAATACTAGTAAATAAAATTCACAGCACATCAAAACCATGCATCATGATAGCTCATTGAGAGACATGTAGATCAGAAATTATAACATATCACATCAAAAAATGAAGAAAATAAAGTGTATGTTGATTTCAATGGATGCAGAAAAAGCATTTAATAAAATTGAACATGTCTTGATAAAAAAATTTGAACAAATTAAGTACAGAGGGGTTTTACCCCCACATGACAAAAGTTTTAGAGCAATTAGGAAAGAGAAAAACTACTAAAATATATACAAATGAAAAAGCACTGTGTCATAATATTCATGTTTGTAGATCATATGATTCTTTATCTAAATGTACCAAAACATTATTAGAAATGATAAGTGAATTATTGTTGCAAGGTACAAAATCAACTTTAAAAAGATCAACTTTAAAAGATCTCTGGTATTGCATGGCATGCTGTCTCTCAGCAGAGCCAACCACCAAAACCAGGTATTTTGGAGAACATATATAATCCCAGTGCTGGGAAAGCAGAAACAGGAGGGTCACTAGTAGTATGAGCTGTGTAACGAGACCTTGTGCTAACTACATAAATAAATAAATAAACTTGTTTTTAAGAAATTAAAAATGGACTATATACAGAATAGAAGATTATTCAACCATAGGAGAATCATGAAATCCTGTTATTGTCAGGAAACAAGACAAAATTAGAGAATATTATATTAAGTAAAAAATAAAGATGAAGAAAATAAAGCACATATTTATATCAATGGATACAGAAAAAGCATTTAAGAAAATTGAACATGAACCAAAGGCAGGAAATGAAGTGCAACATGTTCTTTCTTCTAAGGGAAAGCAAAAAAGAAAGTTTACCTACATTTACAACAGTGATTGCTAGCGGTCGTATGACTGGTGGGAGGAAGGATAATGGAAGCTGGATTTGATCAGTATATGCTTCATGTATGTGCTGAAATATCATAGTCAGCTCCATTAACATATGCAAATAATACATATAATAAAAATAAAATTATTATTAAAATAAAATCAGTGGATTTTTTTGAAGACAGTAGTTCTTAGAAAAATATGCTAATTTAAAAAGTTAATCATAGAACATGAAATTTGGGACACCATTGTGTTACAGGATGTTACAGCACAGGTTCTCTTATGTCCTGAGTCCTCACTGACCTTGAAGGACTAGGGTTAGGGCCAAAATATCCCTGTAGCCCTTCTATTTCTCTAATTTTTTGGTCTGCAAACTTAAGTTCTTAACCTTCCAGAAGAGAGGCTTAATGATATTGTTACCCTATAACATAGGAATTTGAGCTTAGCGTTACTATCTGTCTGAATATCAAACACCTTAGACATAACATGGAACAGGTATTTTCCAACAATCATTGATGTGCTAAATGTTAAATCTGTATATACAAAATAGGATACATATACAGCTACTTTATCTTAATTCAATGAGAAGAAAGATTTATACTAATAGTGTTTAGACAAGATATCATATTTGCATCTTGTACTATGAATAACTTCTACAAGGACAACAATATACAATGTGTTAATTATTGCAACTGTCCTACTAACCTGTCTTGAAGCTGTCTCATTGCTATTTCTTTCTCAATAAAATTAATAAAATATATAAATAAATAAATAAAATAAAGACCAAGAAAGTTAATCATAAAAGTAGCACACTCGGGGGTATTGTAATTTCAGAAAAGGAATATGACTGAGGTTTCACGGGAAGAATAAAATTGAAGAATTCCAATAAGTGAGACAAGGGACTGCTAGGTATGTTGAATTGTAGCTTGAAAAGAGAATAGATGGTTAAAATACTTGAATATGTGAATAGTTGAGATCATTGTTACTTCATGTGCCTGTAGTCCCAGCTCTTGGGAGGCTGAACACAGGTGGATCACTACGAGTCTGATCTATGTGGTGAGACCCTGTAGATCTTGTAGACCCTTACTAAAATACAAAAAAAATCCTAAAGCAAACTATAAACTGCATTCAACGTCTCTTAAAACCAAGTAGAAGTAACATATATGTGTATCCCATCGAAGAACTGTAGAAGATATTACTTTTCTTATCCATTTTGCTTGCCATATGGGTATCAGCAAAAACACAGAATGAAGTAAAGATATATTCTATATGATGTCTTCCACCTGGAAACTGCAGGGTTAGATAAATTGATTGGGTTTTCTTTATCTAAAATTATAATGCCATCCTGTGTTTCATATTTATTTAGTCTTTAAGGTAAAGAGAGTGGGAAGTGTAACAGAATAAGATTTAAAAAGAAAAAATTGTTTACTGAATTAAGGGAATAGTAAACACTGGGAAAAAGTAATAAAATTAATTTAACAGAAGATAAACATAAAATACTTATAATTATATGGTTGATTAGACTCTACCAAGTCCATACGTTACAGAGAAGGTAGAAATACAGAAGCATTCTTAGTAGCTGATGGAAACTGTTAGGTCAATTCTAGACAAAAATCTGGATTAATTAAATTAAATGTGAAAATACATTGTTTTCTAGTGACTTTGTTCCTAGAAATGCTTTCCCATGATGTTTCCACACGTGTTTAACAACATCGTGGCAACACGTTTTGTCAACATCCATTTAGATGCTTGCAAGGTACAGTAGTTGAAGCAACTTATTATGAATAAGCAAGTATTCACATGTTTGAGAAGTATTTTATGAAGTGATAACAATGTCAGGTGCAGTGAAATTGATAAAGACAAAGAAAAATAATTCCTAAAAAATGCTGAGGAAAAAATCAGCAATAAATTGAGACCAAACCCTTACAATTATATAAATTGATAGAACATGTACCTATCCAATTCCACCAAATAAAAGAACATGGACCTAGAATAAACACATATGCTTTATACAAATGTATACATACAGAAAATATCTAGCAAATAAGATTATTCGGTATGCAGAAAAAAGAAGGGCAATGAACATGAACTGAATAAAAGTAAGTTTCAATATGAATTTTGTATGCATGTAAATAATATGTTTTTTCTCAGAAAGATTATATGCAATGGAAATTCTGAAATTTGTTGTCTAAGTTACTAATAATTTCCTTATGTCTTTCTAATATTTATTTATGCCTTATACTCATAACATCATAGGACTTATTATTTTCATGTAAAATAAGTATAGCGTAATATTGTGCTATCATTGCACATTATGTGATTTTTCTACTCCCTATTGGTGAAATTTTAGATTTTAAAAAAGTACTTCTAATCATAAGCAAGCTGAAAGTGAGACTCTGAACAATTTTGCAAATTTCAGTGTTGTTGTGAGATTAATTCTTAGAAATATAATTGCAGTATATAATAGTTTCCAAGATTTAAAAATTGAATAGATAATGCCAAACCACTTTTTAAAGATTGTTAAAATTTAAACACTCAACAACATTGAAAGTTCCTCTTTCAAAACCTCATCTCATCTGTGGTATCTCATTCCTTGTACGTTAGCCAATTATAGTGCTTTCTGTTGCTGTTATCAACTACTGGGTTGTCTGTTGCCAATTTTTCTGCTGAGCAATAAAAACTCATTGAAAATAACTGCATATTTCATTGGTGCTATGTTTCAAAATATAAAGCCACTGAAATGTATAAGTGGGGTATTATAATTTATGGAAATATTGAACTTTTGAATAAACCTATAATGATTGGAATTAATAAATTGTAAAAATATGCATTTATGTAATAAATG